TGTTGTTTTATTGTGCGTTTTGTAGGTAAGCGAAGGGAAGGTCAAGCAGCCAAATGGTGCACCGCAGTATGCATACTTACTGCCAGAGTTGTGCTATCCTACTGGTCTCACCGATGCTATGAGGAAAGACTTCAGACACATGAGAGAGCTATCAAGACACACTCGATTAGATCCGGAAAAAAGACGTCAAACGACCGAGAAGCTCTTGACAATGATACATCAAAATGAGAAATGCTGTGCCTTACTAGATCGATGGGGTATTATTTTGGATAGAAGACTAGTCTCATTCCAATCAAGGGAACTGGATCCTGAAAAGGTATGTTATTGAATAATCGAGCAAACAATTCAGTCTTTTTATTGATAGCGGTTGTTTTGCAAGTAGTGTGGTGCCAGTTGGTGATACGGGAATTGTAAAGCTGCCTTCAGACTTTGCTGCAGCGACCACCATTTTCGGGCCTACGCCAGCGCTAGCGACTGGGAAAGTATGAATATCGATCAGCGAACGTTCAGCGTCCTGGAGCGGAGAGTACAGGGAAGTAAGAGGGCAGCAGACTGCTGGTGGAGTATGGGGGAATAGGAGGGGGCAGACAGCTGGATTAGGCGTCGTAAAATTTCGGCGTGTGCAACCGTACTACCGCTAAAGCACAGAATTATGCAATTTAATGTACGGTATTGTGTAGTAGAACGGTGCGGTTGCTCTTATCCAGCTGTCTGCTCCCTCCTACTTCCGCATACTCTACCAGCAGTCTGCTACCCTCCTACTGCCCCGTACTCTTCACTCATGGATGCTGATAGACGCTGGATCGATACCTATACTTTCCTAGTCGCCGGCGCTGACGGGCGCAGGAAACGCTGTTGTTCGCTGGTGGGCACTGCCGCAAAGTATGAACGCGACCTAACGTTATTGTTTGGCAGCTCTTTGGACTGCATCCGGAAGGTTATGTTGGTCAGCGGGCTGAATGGGCCAAAAATGTTCGTTACAATGGAAATTTCCGTGGTGTGTCCTTGAGAAATTGGGTTGTGATTTCGCCAAACACTTCTGAAGCTGATCGTCTGTCGAGCCTCTTCATAGGTAAGCTTTTATCAGTTGAACTGTTTCACATCTGGGTTCACTGTTGTTTTTTTACGAATAAGTCATGTTGTTCATTACAGAAGAGGTCAAACAAGTCGGACATGTGATGAGAATTGAC